GGCTTTATAGCAGTACTGCTGGTGCCTCACCAATTATGTATTCACGAGTTTTGTGTAATTCTGCTATACAATAAATTAAATTAAATTAAATATGAAATAACAACGGAACAATCTATTTTTTACGTTATTTAAATAAAAGGAAAAGTTTATAATACTTAATTCCAGCTAATTCTTCTTCGACCTTACACATCAAAATTCTGAGTCTATCTCGCGGTATAACTTCGTTTCTTCAACTAATGTTACTGAATGCAACATGCGTAACAGCGACTGGCATTTTATATGTTACGCAAGTCGCCTGAATATGAATACATCTTATATCGGTATATTTTGTGATGTGTCAAAGCGCAGTTTGTATTAGTGTTTGGGAAATATTTTGGTAAGCCGATGCGTGTAATCTTAGTAGTTGAAAGTTTATTTGAACTATGATTTTATACATAGAAACTCGCAGATCTTCGCAACAATGATACGCATTACAATTGCGCTATATTTCTCTCTCTCTCTCTCTCTCACACACACACACACACACACACGTAGAAAAATCACGTAGATCGCTCGTTTTAATTACGCGGCGCTAGAATCCTTCTCATCTTTCGAACTCAAACAGATTCGGTGTCATTTTACTCGGCGCCATTTTCAAATTAACTGTTAAAGAAAAGAAAAAAAAAACAAAGCAAACAATTTATAGGATATAACATATTACATAACTAGTTTACATTAAGAGAAATGTTTTGCTAATGAATAATCACTTATTGATATGTAATTTATAAAAACTTCTTTACATTTAAAAATTATGTTCTAATCAAATTTAACAAATTTTGATTAGAACAATTTTTTTGTAAGTCACATATAAAAAAAAATATATGATTATTCATACCAAACATTTCTCTTACAACTTACAATCAGTGTGAAGCGCGAAAAAGCGAGACGAGATGATTTTGCCGTTTAATTACCCCGCGGTTCGAGTTTAAACGTTAACTACTTTAGCATTAATTGCCGTATCTCCGTTATTTCATCATCACTTTGGAGAACTCTTTGGAGATAGTCCAAGCGAGACTGGTTGAAGTACATAGAAAGAAAAGCGCAGTTGGGATGAGCATCCGAGTGACCTTTCTTCTCAAATAGAAAGGCGTCCTGCGATGTACATAACGTCGCGAATAACAGTGCGTGAGTGTTTCTCTTTCGCAAAGGTAATCGACCACGCGCTTAACCCTTACGTTTACCTACGCACATATTTGTCTTGTTATCAAAAGAAAATGTGATTTCTGCTGAAATAATAGTCTAATATGATAAATATATTTATAACATGTATATATTTATATTTATTTACATATACATATTTATAACAATTTATTTATATGTTATAACATTCTAATCTAATAAAGAGCATTTTTTTGCAAGAACACATAATAGGGTGAATTCTTATTTAACATTGATAAATAACGAGGATTATTGAGTAATGATTTACTATATGTTACACTAACGACACTTTAAAAAAAATTGCTCGATCAGAAATGCTTATCAAATATTTTAACGCTGGACATATCCAAGAATGACTATGTGGAGAGAATTTTTCCTTAGACTTTATTCTGAAAATATAGTAGATATACAGTCGTGGAACAACATTATATATTTCAAAGATATATAATTTTCTGTCACTCGCTAATAAAACTATAATAAAAATGTAAAATAAATTTGATTAATTTTACTGAAGTGCATGGTAAAATTCTTTAAAATATTGTAATGTATTACAACTACATTACATCTTCTTTCAGGATAAATTCTAAATTCTTTTTCTAAAAAAAAATTCATAGTTTTGAGCGTTTTCCAGCAAGGATACAGTAAGTCTGTTTGTGTTGTTTATACTTTTTACACTCAATTTTTCTCTTTCCTTCTTTTTAAAGCTCGAATATATAGGTATCTCATTTAAGTAAAATTATTAATCTCATCTTTTAAGTAAAATTTTTTGGAGATTTCAAGCAACGCCAACAAATTTGCTGAAAAATATTCACGGAAAACTTATCGTCATTCTTTGATATTTTCAACATTAAAATATTTTACAAGTATTATCGATTAATTTTTTATAAGTACTCACAAAGTGATTTAAGTCAATTTTATCGCTGTGAGTTTGCATTTTATAGATTTAAATAATGAAGATTTAAATAATGTTGACTATGAATGTTTAGTGAGTGTGTAGATCTTGATACTATAGACGAGGATGATCTCTGCATTTATTTGCGATTGACGCAAAGTCTTTTTTTATCGATTATCAGACGTATTGTTATTATCGATTATTTAACCGGTTTCTATTCTTCTCGCGCAATTTTGCAAAAACGCGTCTATCAATTGCGAATGTTAACGCTGACCTGTGCGGCAGCACATATAGACGCTCCGGTTTTCTATTAAAATTAGCGACGCCCGTTGTGCGCCAAACATTCCTTTTACGTCTTTCATCTAAAGTTTCTTCCGTGATTTATTAATGAAATAACGAACGCGATTAAGATTTTATTTATTCTTTGAAAAGGCAGCAAAGTATCGAATAAAAATTATTCTGCTTTCTTATATATTTTTTAATTATAATACATTTTAGATTTAATAATTTAGATTTAATAGGAAGTCACGAATGGTATTACAGAATATAATACATTTTCTGATGAAAACTTTAATTCTTCTTTCTTTTTAAATCAAATTTTTTGATAAAATTCTGGAATTATTTTTCTGGAGCTATCTTTTACAAGAATTTTGCCAAAATTAAAATTTCAAATACCGATTATACCCTGAATTACATGCGTTTACTTCATTATATTCATCATTTCAGCAAAACTTCGCTCCAATCTCTTTGGAACATCCTCGTTGAGAGTCGATAATGCTGGCCTGAGTCCAGTGGACTCGTTATAAATACGGCTCACGACAAATGCAGACGGAGACGGTTGTCTCAGACTCTCTTTTTGCCTCTCGTCATCCTTCACATCATATTTTTTGTTCTCGTTATTTGCCTTCTAACGACACGTTTGTGCTCGTTTGTCCTACATTGCGCTCGTTCTTCTTTCTTTTTTCTCCTGTTTATCTCTTAATGGCGTTTTTATATTACACTTGTTTCATTTTTTCTTTCTTTTGATTAACGTAATTCTCTTTTTAATCTTTACGAAATTGTTTATCATCTGTTTATATAGTATAAGGAAAGATTTTATAAGGAAAGATTTTTATTTAGTAAGAGCTTTTCATTAACACATTTTACATGTCCAAACGGTCCACTCAAATTTTTGAGTTAATTTAATATAAGATGAACATATAAAGAAATAATAAAAATATAGAAAAAAATTAATACAAAAAATGCAACACTGACTCAATTTATAAGCAAATTATGCATGTATATTTCTTCACTAAAATTAACTTATAAAATTAATTTATAATATGTTAAATTAACACATTTTATTTATTTATCTAGAATTTACGTTTTAAAATATATATTATTTTTATGTTTTTGTCACTTATTCATAAATACTTTTTTATTTACTCATAAATTATATTATTTTAACATCGAGAAATATTGAATATCAATTGCATAAATATCGTAATAATACAATCATATTATATTAAACCGAGACAGTACCGTATCTCCAGGTTAACACTTGAATATATCAAAAATTTAATACAAAAATTTTAATAAGATCTGATTTTAACATAAAAAAATATGAAACGTTTTTTTTAATACCGTACCTAACTTTTGCACGTATGAAAGTGTCGATTACATTATGTTTTTATTGTATAAATTCAAAAAATTGTTTTATTTTATATATATAAATTTTTATTTTATTTTTCGAAAATATATATAAACCAGTCAAGAACTCTTAAAAGTTCTATAATAATATGACGATAAAAAAGGCAAATAAGAGTCGATTCTTTAAAATATAAATGTATAAAAATTATTAATAGGAGTTAAATACATACATAATGAAAAACATAATGAAAAACTGAGATATTATTACATGTTTCGGTTCTTAGATTGAGCCATCTTCAGATATCCTCCTCTTCACACTTAAAATTAGTTATCATCGTCAGAAATAAAAAATGATGTAATGTGTTTCAAAATATAAATTAATTTCTAAAGACTCCTTAATGATACAAAATGGTTGGATATAACAGGGCAATAGAAGTAAAGCATGGTAATTCTTGTGCAAATCAATACGGTTAACAAACTTTAATAATAATTAATCCGCTTACTGTTTCGGTTCACTTTTGAGTCATCCTCAGAGACAATATGATGTAATTGCAAAAAATTTTTTTACAAACTAATTCATTTCAGTGAGCCACCTCTATCTATTAATGGAAACTATAATATAAAAACGAACTCTAATAACAATCTAAAATGTATTAAAATTATTAAAAGGTAAATTTGTTGGGCGGGGGGGGGGGAGCAAAAACGATTTATTGCAAAATAATAAAAAGTAGCTTACTAAAACAAAAATTCATCATATCGCAAACACTTAAATTCTATCGGTTTAGTCAAAAATCAGTCTTTGACCATTCAGCGAATCAGTGTGAATTATGTCGAAATTAATTAATAACTTTTAATACCTAAAACGTTAATCGCAAAGAAAAAGAAAAAAGAAGGGAAAAAAACTCTGATATTATATATAGTTCACGGACATTAAAACCAAAACTGAATCTTTAGTAATTTAATCTTAATATAACAAAGAATATACACTGATCAGTAATTAACACAAATGTAATTATTACAGATATATTACAATAAATTGTTACTTAATTGTTCTAATTGAAAACAGGTGTCGAAAGTATTTAATGATTTCAAATACATTGATATCAAATACTATAACCAACAATAAAAATAAAAAATTAACAACAATATTACATTATGAACATATTCCTTGAATTAATTTTTCTCGAAATACATATTTTATACAAAAAAATTACAATAACATCCTTGATTTTAATATTAATTTTTTATTAATATTTTTTTTTACTAAGATATATACATATAAGACAATAAATTCGGAATTACAATGGGAAATTAATTATTACGTAATAAATCCAAACAAATTTTACTGATTCATTAAGAAAATTAATTCGATGACAATATTTATTTATCAAGTCATATATTGTACATTTTACACAATATACGTATAAGAAATGGCAGGCGTAACGCTATTCAATGACGTTGCGGCTCACTTGAGTATTAATAACCACCCATTTCCGCAACCACCGATTTTCAGTGCGCGGCTTCATGCCAATTTTTCGTCCATTTTCTATCAAACAGGCGACGCTTACTATATAGAGATTGACTCTACGCATTCATTCTCTTCGTATTCATTTACATTGTTATTAAAAGAAGAATCTTTTAAACTATAGCTCCCAAATTAAATAAAAATTTATTTTTAATTGACAATTCTTCTGAAATCACATTTTGAAAAGTTTTATGAAGTTCACTAGAATCTTTATTCCATTTTTGTTAAAACGTGATTAGTCACGTCTGTAAAATAACAAGAGATAAACAGAGATTATTTATAAAGAAAAGTTTTTTGAGCTTCGAAAAACTTGTAAAGTAACCCCGATGCGTCGGTCTTGAGCAAAGATCTGTTACAGCCACCTGTAGAACAGGATTCTTCGGTACCGGTTCAATATTCCGGTCCCCAAATCTTTCCTTGCGGCGTTGGAGGTCTCATTTGTGTATCAAAAATCGTTGAAATGCTCGTCCGTTTTTTAGATGAGGTTTAAACCTTCGAGGAATTTTGATGTGCAAGGTTAAGGTCGTTAATTGGAATTAGCATATCTTATTTTTTGCAAGTTAACGTATAAATTTTACTATAGATAATTTTAGTATATCAATTTTGCATCGCGATTTTAAAATCAAATTTTATGATCAAACTGTGCTCAACAAATCAATCCAATCTTAATTTTATTCTTTACCAACTGTATAAAACAGTATTGTTAATATTGATTAAAGAACATTTACAAACAGTCCACTCAAACTTTTGCGTTAATTTAATACAAGATGAACATATTATAAAATAACACAAATATTATGTAAAAAAATCAATACAAAACAATGGCACAATTTATAAACAATCATGATTTTTCATTAAAATTAACATTTATAATTTGTTAACAATTATTTATAAATTAACATGTTTCAAATTTAACATTTGTAATGTTAAATTAACGCATTTTCATTTATCTTAGAATTTACGTTTTGAAAAATTATTTTTGTGTTATTTTTTCATTTACTTATGAATTGTGTCATTTTAAATTAAGAAATATTGAATATTAATTTAACACAAAATATTTAAATCACATTATGTTAAATTATCACTCAGATATATTAAAAATTAAACACAAGATTTTAATAAGGATTTGAAAGAATCCACACAAATACAAAATGTGTATCATATTAATAATCTAAACAAATAACCGAGCAAATTTTTGAAGACGCGATTTTAAATTGTATAATAATTTACATAAATATCGAAAGCTATGTTAGGGTAAAATAATATATATAAAATAATATATATGTTTACCTAAAATATATAGCAATTTTCTGCTAATTTGCAAGACTCCCGGTATCGTCTGAAGGTGATAAGGCTGGGAATCGCCGTTACATATCCCAGTAACACGGAAAGTCTTGTAAATGCTCGATTGTGAAGCAATCCGGTGGGCTATCAGCGTACGAAATGGAAACGGGTCTCGATTACGGCTACCCAAGAAACAGGCTCCGATCTCCGGGTACACGTCGCAGTATCTTCGCGGACAATAACGGGAGCTTTCCTGACTTACGAAAGAGACCTCGTTATATCGTCGTCTTCGTGGCTATGGACACTGGTCGAATATATGCAGAATGCAAGTGTGACAGGAAGTGACGAAAGCGTGCGTCAGGAGGAGGGAGATCGCGACTCGTTTCGTCCAGTCGTTTGAAGCGGAAATGGAACAGAATCGCCCGTCACTCGTTCCAACCAATTGGGTTGCAAATCCAGGCCGAGATCACCTGTTACAAGACAGCAGAAACACAGCGAGTCTAGATCTCTATGCACGGAGAAAAATGTAAAGTAATATGCGCTAGAATTCTAGTAAATTTTCTGGAATGGCAGGTTTATGTAGAAACAGAGTCCGTTTGTATAATTATATAATTTAATATAATTTAATTAATATATAATAATTTATAATTATATAATTTATTATATAATTTAATTAATTTTTCTAGTAAATGAGCGATTGCCAAAGAGTCCATTTTACAATTCCGTAAAAGTAAATCTATAAATTACTATATATCTCAATAGAATTTACTTTGTCGGCAAGTATTTTTGCCTTTACTCTAGCAAAATTTATTTTACTAAAAAATACAAATGTATAAAGTCTTGAAAATTGTTTGTGTTTACAGTCTTTTGAATAGTATGATTTACTTTGTAAAGTAATAATCACTTGAATTGAGATTTACTATAATTGTAATGTGCTTTCTACTTTACACATCTCCGGTACTTTTACTGTCAGGCAAGTAAAGTTTGTCATAAATTCGGCAAAAAAGTCAGAATATTTTTACAAGTCTTGTAAGGTAAAAATTACTCGACCATTTTTCTTTGTGTGTAGATCGATCCGTGCGACTCAGCATCACGTAGATTGTCGGCTCTGCCACACAAAAATAGATCTCACGCATCGCGCGTGGTATTGTTTAAACTCTTTGACGTACACCAGAATAGGAAAATATACCGTGTCTTCGAAAATTTGTTTTTCCTGCTCGACTGTTTGTTTAGATTGTTAGTATGATAGTAGTATATTTATTCCACTTCACATAAAACAAGTGGACTAAAAAAGAAGACAAAAACTTATTAAATATTTTTTTCCATACTTTTCCATGGCAAGGTGAATCGTAATATAATTGTATGATAATTACAGACTGCTTGCATAAATCTGTATTTTAAAGAGTTGAAGTTTACCCTCCTTGGTTTTTCTTTTCTCTTTTCTCTCACGAATAGATTTTATTCTAAGTTGCTTGAACATCAAATGATCTTCCAGTATTAAAGAGAATAAATAAAATTACCCAATCTTTCTTTTATTTTTCAAGAATCACCGTGGGCGAGTTTCCGATGCGTCTCAATGCGTCATGCATGCGAGTTTTATCGATTTGCATACTTGATTCGCATTTAAATTATCCCATGGTGGTTACTGCAACACATTCCCTATTGAGTCGATTTGGTCACAAAGTAAATTTGTGAAACTTCAAAGCGAGCTTATGAAACTCAGTTTATCATAAGTCTTGATTATACTTTTACAATTTATGATGTAACCTCGCGGGCACAAAGTTACAGCCAACAAACGTGTTTACGAATAGAATGGCGATTAGGTGTTAATCATCTACATCTATTGGTTATGCTAACTGCTCATATCGTGTAAATTTTATCTACTTGATCAAAAAAAGAGACTTGATAAGTAGCTTTTCGCCTCGAGTAGTGCTGTCTTCTATACACGTTCTAATATGTATAATAGGATATGTACGAGGCGAAAGATAATTTCTGCTGTTAGATAATTTCTCGTTTTAGCCATGATAGGACAGAGTTCTATCGAAGATTAATGGAACTATATATAAGGTAATCCAAAAATGTAAAAATAAATAATAATGATAAGGTATCAGCATAACCGTGTTGTATTTATTATTATAGACGTGTTAGAACATGCATGATTTCAGCAGTCAAATTTTCTTTTCTTTTAATCTCTTATTACTATTATATTAGTAATAATAAGATATAAGTACCCTTATATCTATTTTTATGTTTTCGGATCACTTTTCCATTAATCTTCAACGGGACTTTGTCCTGCCGTAACTAAAACGCAAAATTGTCTAATGGCTCATCCACATACAAGTTACGCCTATTTGCACCGTAAAAGTAGGCTACATTACCAAAGATAAATAAGTCATTAACGTCATGACTGTCCCCCGGGAAAAACAAATTACGGAGAAAGAAAAATTAATGAAAATGAGACAAATGATAAGCATTTACAGAATAATGATAAAGTTTTTAGTGATAGAGACTTCGGTATCCCATGTGGTGTAATTCATATCTGTAACCTGTAACACAATGTGTTTGAGTTTTAATTTCTGATCTATAGTGCTTTTTGTTTCATATTTTTATCGCTTTTTCCTTCTTTGCGACCGTTTTATCGACAATCTCTTCCGAAATTTTTATCTCAGGTGACAAAAAACAAAGAAACAAGATAAGAGACAAAAAGATAAGAAAAGATAAAAAGCAAAACACAGGAAGCAACGAAACAGTGGATCAGATCTTTATTTTGTAATTTTTAAGTTACAGAATTATTCCAAATAATCGTATGTTGAACAAATCAAATTTATTATATCATAGGATAATTGTCATATCGACGGCAATTATTAAACGAATAAATTTGTTTCGTTTAACGTACGATTATTTAAAATGATTATTTGAAATGTATAAACTTGCTGGTTCGTACTATATCCTTGATATTTGCGCACAATAGTAGGTTATGACCCAGTTCTAATATTAGAGAACTTACTTAGACGCCGATTGTTAGCCGCCAAAAAAGTGAACCTGACTGACGAATACCTGAGTATATTTTCAATAAAAACGTTTAGCGCGAGTTTGTTTCGAAGTATCAAATATCAAGTCAGCATTTTACATGGCAGGAATTCGTCTCTGCGTGGAAGCAATCTTATTCAAATTCATGTCGTTACTTCGATGTTAAAATAAATTTGAAACGTTCTGGGAATTCAAATTTAAGAAGAAAGTCATTTGAGGTAAAAACAAAAACGAAATGAAAAATACATGTACTTTCTAGGTAACTATTATTTTTCTTTTTATTTATTTAATTTTGTTTTATATATATATATATTTTTTTAATAAAAACAAATGTATATATATATATATATATTTATTTATGCGCTGTTTATAAAAGAGACGACTAAATCTGGATTTAGACAGGTACTTTTCCTGGCTTAGACTTCTCCTGATCTTCTCTAAGAAGATAAACTAACTGATGTAATTTCGATGTGATGCTTAATCCAGTAGCAAAATGGAATTTGCTTTGCACACTCTAAATACTAGTCAGAAATCTATTCTCACTAATCCTACGTAAATTTAGCTTGTAATTTAAGCTTGTATTCAGAAATAATATATGCATAAATAATAAATAATAAATATCCATGCTAAAATATAAATATATAATTCCAAATAAATCTAAATCTCAAATTTTGATAATCTATGTTGAAATTATACATACAATAAACATTATAGTTTAAAACTTTTAAATTGTATATAGATACAAAGGTCTTTTACTGTAGGAATGATTTAAAATTGTATTAAAATTGTATTGATCAAGTACGGTAATCATTAAATACATTAATAATTGAAAAATGATTGTGAAGAGTGAAGCGAAAATTGCTATAATTAAAATTTCTGTAAAAATGTATTAAAGAATTATACAACTTTATTAAAGAAATTGATTGATTTTGTATAATGAATTTAATAAAGTATTGTACATGTTATATTTCTCATTCTATTTGTTATTTTTAGCAGAGCTTTTGATATCTCCCTTACATGTCTATCATGTTTAATTCGATTATACCAAAGTGGCTGTGTCTTGATAGACATCTCCTTGCATGAATGCGACGCTGAAAATACTTTTTACTGTGTAAGAGGAGAGTTATTGGCAGGCAAAATTTCAATTACACCGTTTTGCGATGGATGATGCTCGATGAATAGAGCCGACCGGCATGGCCGACAAATTTTATTGCGTTCAATTAGGAGAATCAAGTCTCGCGATTATCATGCATCATTCTCGAATCCGCAGCTACGTACACTTGGATGCAGTTCATGAATTCGTGGAATCAGGAAGGGCTTTAATAATACCGGCTGGATTATAGCAGTCTAAACGGGAAAGAGAGTTTATGGTGAGCGTTAAATCATAGGTAACTCGAGAAAGGTTGCGAATTATATATGCATCATTCAGTAGATTCTTAGTCCTTTATTGTGCACGCAATTTATGTTCCATCTACTTAGCAAGAGAGTTCAAATTGTTTATTAAAAATGAGTATTTATATGCTCTGTACTTACCTTTAAAAGATTTTAAAATAAAATAAAAATATTTTTAATAACATTTTTAAAATGATATGTATACTTTTTTGATCAATTTTAATCTTAGAATCAGATTTCTCTTTATTTATATCAAAAGTTACTGAGATAGTATATCTGCATAATAAACGCGCACGGCTTGGCAGAATAATCTGATGCATTTTCTGTTAAAATTGTATTCCGAATTTCTGCGCATATCTGAACTTTAATTATATTTTTGTCTAGCAAAAACGTAAAATTATCACTATAATATTCTAAGAAATTAAAAATCATAGAATTTTCAATTTGGAAATTTTCTATTTGAAGACTAAAAATTTATGGATAAATTCGTAGAGCTACACGTTAAAAAAGTTTATAGATCTAGAATCTAGATAAAATAAAAAATTTTAAAAAGTAAAAATCAATATTATATAAATATAGATAAAATTAAAACTTGGATAACAATATGTTTAATTATCATTTAAATCAAGAATTTAAATTTCCGCTGACGCAGACATAAATTGTAAAATGCATCGATTAACCCGTGCCTCTCGTTAATCTAATACAGTATTAATTGACTCGATCGATTTAAAAGATATAAAAATCAAAACAGATATTCATAACGCTTTTACCGGGTCAGTCGAGAGGTGAGACTAATTCATTTTGCAGATGAAACGCATAATCGCGACCTTCGCCACGGTTGCCACTCGATTACGCGCTCGATGCCGCATCGTCAAGGCAATTCAGTTTGATCAACTCGCACTCCTGACAATGGGGTTCGACGTGCTTTAACCCTTCGTGCATGTAGCACGAGCTATCAAGGTCTCTTTTTATCGTGATTAAGTCGTGTTAAGCATACTGGAGGACTCGAGCCGCATGCGGCGCAAATCAGCGAATTCGAATTGTGAATCGTGTATGACGATGTGTAAAATTTCGAAAAATATTTTTTCTTAGAGGAAAACGAAAGTTATCGTTCAATTTTAGGCAGACAAAGAAACTATCTATCATTCATGCTTTAATAATTTGTTCTTTTTGATGAAAATGAATATAATAAAATTTCGTTTATCTGCATTCTATTTATACGAACAAGTTAGGCTCAGTTTTAAATATCCAAATTCATAGCTGAGTTCCGATGGTGCCATAAATTGGCTAATAGGAGTTCGATTTGTTCGACTTCAATTTTCTGAATGTCAGCTTTTATTATCGGAACTAATAATGAGTACTGCTGAAGAGAAAGTTGGCGAACTTTTATTATCCGAGTCATTCAGTTATCAGAACTGTTTTATTTGGATAAATGAAATTCTACTGTAATTCCATATAATTTTTAAAAAAGTTCAAATAACGTGAGTTAAATTTTTTTAATGAATGTGGAAATTGTTCACTTATAAAACATCTAATTGGCTAAATGAATTGGCTGATAAATTGCATATGTTATACATATTTATTTTTATAAATAAATAAATAAAATATCGCTCAAATATTTAAAAAATGTATCTAAATCACGATAATAAACGAACACAAAGATGTTTGCTTAATAAATATTGAATAAATTATTTAATATGTGTCTTGAAAAATATAATATAATATAATATACGTTTTGATTCACAAAATTTTCATTCGTATTCGTACAACTTTACATTCTGGTGTATAAAATTATGATAGACAAATCTGAATCGTCCATAAAGGCGGTTATTTCCATAAGTCAATTATACTAGCTCTATAAAGCTAGCAGGACAAAATCAGCAGAATCAAATCGGATCTTCTCGGAATTTTTAGTACTCATTTTATTAGGTCACTTAAAAAGTATCCGCAGTTTTTTGTTCAATTTTTGAATGAAAAAATCGCGGATACTTTTTAAATGACCCAATATATTAAATTGTACCATTAATGATAATTTTGTACTGCATTTCGAAAAAAATCGTGATGCTGCTGGCTTAATATTAAGTTGGCAGGACCAATTTAAAAGAAAAGAAAAAAAGAAAAATAACATCAAAAATCAATACGATTGAATTTATATTATTTTGTATTGCCAAAAAACAATTCTATATTGTGTGTCATTTCTAAGAAAACAATGGCGCTGATAGTTTAATATTTAAGCTGGCAGGACCATAAAAAAATAACACAGGCTAAAAATTAACACGATTGAATTTGTACTAATTTGTGTGTACCATTGAAAATAAGTTAATATTTTATGTTTTCTCCTTAAATGACTTTATTAGTACATATAATCCCTACAATTTATGAGGCATTCCACGTCAAATCATGCACCTTCGAAACATCATTTTATTTTTTTTTGAATTTGCTAACATATCTATTCTATAGATAAAAATATAAGATACGTATTTCATGAAAAAAATGTGAGATTTTTTTATGAAGTTACTGACGCTTGTAAGTTGCATATAAAAAATGTCGCTCATGCGAACATTCAAATTATTATATCGTTGAAACCAATAGTCATACAAAAAAATGCAAAATTTTCCGAAATTAAAAGTCTTTTAATATTTTAAAGATCTTAAATTATTCTATGGATGTGTTATTTTTAATTTATCATTTTCATGTAAATAAATCATTTTCCATTTATTTATAATTTTTATTTTTAACACTTCACCAACTCACCAATTTAAAAATTTTATCATACTGTTACCATTTCAATTATGAAATAACCCTGAAAATTTCAAAATCAAACTCGAATGGACTGTATAGTTATAAAATGCGAATTTGATTTTGAAATTTTATTACTTCATAATTACTTCATAAATAATAGTATGATGATATTTTTACAAAATTTTTTAATTGGTCAGTTGATGATGAAAAATGTTGATAAAAATTGTAAACAAATGGAAAATGATTTATTTATATGAAAATGATAAATTAAAAATAACCCATCCATAGAATAATTTAAGATCTTTAAAATTAGACTTTTAATCTCAGAAAATTTTGCATTTGTTTGTGACTAATGGTTTCAACGATATAATAATTTGAATGTTCGCATAAGCGAGCAGTATTCATAAATTTGCATTGTATTCATAAATTTGCAACTTACAAGCGTCAGAATTTCATTTAAAAAATCTGACATTTTTTTGCGAAACATGTGTCTCATATTTTTATCTGTGGAATAGATATGTTAATAAATTTAAAAAAATAAAATAAAATGACGATGTTTCAAAAATGCCCAGTTTGACGTAAAATATCTCATAAATTGTAAGTATTATATATACTAATAAAGTTATTTAAGGAGAAAACATGTATTAACTTACTTTTAATGGTATATACAAATTAGAGTACAAATTCAGTTATGTTAATTTTTGCCCTTGTGTTTTTTATGAGCCTGCCGCTTAAATCTTAAATTAGCAGCGGCATTGTTTTCTTGGAAATGATAACACATAATATAGAATTGTTTTTGACAGTACAAAATAATAAAAATTCAATCGTATTGATTTCTGATATTTTTTTTTCTTTTCTTTTATTTTGAATTGGTCCTGTGAGCTTAATATTAATCTAGCACTACCAAGATTTTTTTCGAAATGGCACGGTAAAAAATTATCATTAATGGTACAATTAATTAGTACAAAATGAGTACTAAAAATTCCGATAGATCCGATTTGATTCTGCTTTTTGGTCCTAGCTTTATAGAGTTAATTATACTTCTAACACATATCCGTAATTACTTGTAGTCAAGATGTAAATTTTTATAACTAATTCTCGTTAGACGGGAATCGACATTAAGTCCGGTAATAATAATTGTCGAGTTGTAAAAAATGATCATGATATGAAAAGAGACACACAATTTACATAAGAATAAAAAATTTTTTGGCAGTAATTATTTCAAGCTGTTATTATTGTCGAGTCCCCAGGATGACTGCTATTTATTTTTATAGTCTACAAATAAGTACGAAAAAAATTCGTGTGAAATTAACCAAGCTATACGCTGTGTTGAACTGACAATGTTGCGACGGTTGTGAGTTTGTATACAAATTGCCAATGAATAATTAAAACGCGCCTCTGGCTTCTAGAATGAGCAACCTTGCACATTGTACAGCATATAGAATTTTGAATCGTTGAGAGAAATCCCTATTATATCTCGCCATGGCTCAATTTATTATTCGCTATTCGCAGCAGTTTAATCAAGCATGCTAATCGAGTTAGCCTTCATCCGCATGCGACGCAACTCTTTTAGTATTAATATGATTATTATTACAATGCTATTACGTGCCCATGATTTAGGTGTACAAAAACCAGTCGCCTATGATTTATAGATGTATAAGAATCAAATATAAAACTATAAAGATTTAAACATTACCTTTGAAATATTTACGTAAGAAAATCTGTTCAAAATATTGCAAATAATAGATTATCTTAGAAATAAAATTTTTAATGTCAAAAATTGACAAACTTTATTGATAATAAGACGTTAAATATAGGTATTGTCATTAGATATCCATATGATCGAAAATTGGTATCATTTTAATCTGTTGTGCTTTAAAAAGTCTGTTTCAAAATAGACACGATCCTCGGTTGTTTATGCGATTATTAAAACGATGATATTACATTACACTTGCAATAAATGGCGTCACTCATAATAAATTATACAATAATATATTTTTAGCAACTGTAATAAAATTAGAAGTAGCAATTTTCTTAATTTATTGTAAATCAGAAATTAAATTATTACCTTTAATTGTATTTAATCCAGTTGTATTTAATTCTCTACACTTAACATTTTACGCTTGTAATATAACATTCTTAGTGTTTATATTTATCTTAGTCAGTAGTTGATTATTAAATAAGAGATCTATATTCAATTGTAAAATACTTAATAAATATTATACAGACACGCGGCTGTCTGTGGCATTATGGAAATTTTTAATTACACGCGCATGAGTAATTAGAAATTTCCATAACGCAATCAGCGTTCGCAATTCGTCATTAGTTTATAAGAAAACCTTAAAGGAGCAGAACGTTTTGCAATAATTCGGAAACCAAATAAGTACCAGTTGTTTGTGCATGATGATTTCATAAGCAGCATCCCGCGACTTCGTCGCCTAATACGGTGGTCATCTATTACCTGCCCAATTAGCATACAGTGCGTTGGTGGTATCGTATGTTAATGTATCAGTGTATAGTGTGTATAGAATGTATGCTGTAAATACACAGATCCATCTATCAAAAAAGGAAATTCATTAATTTTACAAGGGTTTTCTAATAATAAAAATATTATAATACAATTTGTATAACAAATTAATACGTTATATCATTTCCATCCTACAATTATTAGTAGTTAGCATGATTTTCTTATTAAATTGTAAATGGCAGTTAACATCAATTCTATTTTTTATTGTATATATCTTTACAGTAGAAAAAAAAAGTTAAAAGCTGCTCTTTTACATTAAAAAATATTTTATTATATTAAAAATGTTAATAAACTCATTAATTTTACAAGGGCTTTCTAATAATAAAAATATTATAATACAATTTGTATAACAAATTAATACGTTATATCATTTCCATCCTATAATTATTAGTTAGCATGATTTTTTTATTAAATTGTAAATGGCAGTTAACATCAATTCTATTTTTTATTATAAATATAGAGATAAATTCCCTTTCCAGAGTGCATTTCTTGAAGCTAAAATTTTAAAGCTTAATTTTAATCCTTAGATGGAAATTCAAACAATGTCCTGCATCACTTTAATATTTTGAAAAATTAACGGATTAAGTATGCGCGCATAGCACTCAATGGGATCCGGTTATTAACGAGATAAAAATAAAACACATTTGGTGTCAATGGAACGAGCGTATAACTAATAATATAAAGTCGTTTGGTTTACCTGCGCAATATTGTAATTTCCACACGTGTCAGTCTCCCTTACAACAGCCGCCACTTTAACGAGTGCCACCCATTCTCATTGTCTAAGCATTCCTAGGACTCACTTGCCATAATTATATGTAAAAGGCAGTGAGCTATGAAATCTTTCAACTGGGTTAGTTAACCTGTGACATAATAGCTGAATACTTAATCTCAGGATCTCTACAATTCATTCACGACACGTATCTATGTTCTTTCAAAAATATTTCACATTAATGAATAATATTATATTAAAAAAAATTTTTAATTAATTTGCAATTAGGTTTAACTTATTGAAAGAATTGAAGAAAAAAAATAATTATGTTAAAGGATATCGTCTTATTCTCAATATCGAAGATTTTGCAGTTTTTATGGCGAATTCCATGTGTAATCGCATGCGGCTGTCGATATCTGTGGCATTTGGATACGGACTGAATAACAGTACCAGCACCATATTAAATTTAAGCGTATCTGCTTTTTAAGAGGCCAAGTAATCCTCCGTCTCTCTCTACCGGCTTTGGTCGGTTCCAGCTCGAGACGGGCTAAACATCCGAATGGTTCCGTTAGCTCAACCAGTCGAGATGCCTGGACTAGGTGAGAAAGAAAGGAGAGACTGCATGAATGCAGCTCCTTTGCAAGGACGATAACGGCACGCCTGTGTATCTTTATATCTCCGCGTTGTGCGCTTACAAATGCCATCACGTTAAAAAGTAGGCAACGCCAAGCGACAGCCAACTAGTCATTACTTTAGAGATAAATATTATATTATACAATTATATGTTTGTGTGTGTGCGTATAAAATGAAAATTGATGAACATCTAGTGTGTACGATATGCGTACTTAAAGCACTATTGCGATGATTTGGCATCGAGAATCTTATTTCCAAAGATATCTTTCAAGATTTATGTAGAATTTCTCATGTATATTTAAGAACCAAATAATACATAAATTAATATATAAATTTATTAAGATATTTGACATGTAATTAAAGAGCGAGATAATTTCTTCTCTAAAGTTGAATTAATTTATGAAGAATTTCTACATGGATCGTATTTAAATCTACAATATTTTTCCGAATGTCCCCTCAATTACTTTGTAGATTTCATCAAGCTTCCATAAATGTGTACATCAACCGAAATCTGGTGCACGGCCAACAACGTTGCAGTTGCAATCCGGGATTCAGTATCTGCAACACAGTTGCTGTGCCGTAAATTTAGAGCGACCCGATCCCGCAAAATGTCTTGCCAGAAAATCCCGTTATAACGAATTATAGCAAAAATCCGTTATAATAAATATCGACAGTTTAGGTGTAACGAAATTTGATTGAATTTATGGGCGTAGTCATTACATGTCGCATATAATCGAAAATATGTCATCTATCATTTCATTTATCAATTAGATAAAACTTGAGGAAATGCCTTAGCAAATATCTGAAAAAATTCTTTCTTATTAATATTAATATTCTTCTAATTTCGAAGTATTATCCAATGTATTGTATTATAACAATGACGATTATTATTTCAATTCAGTCGTTTATTCATATGTATTTGAAAGTTAACAACGATGAATCATTGCAACTCTATGTTTTTTTAAATGCAAAATCAACTCGACGAGATACTTACCTTTCGTTTCGGTCGATAAATCGACTCTAAAATATAAAAACCATACATGATCTGGATTCCAGGACTCAAAGTTCTACTTACGTTCACTTTACGCTCTTTCTTTCTTTTTCTCCTCTTTCTGTATCTTGTTCCTTATCGATCTTGCAATGGCATACTTTTAATTCCGATCTATAACATAAACATAGAGAAATATAGATACTACATATGATAATAATATGATAATAATTAAATATATCACTTTATGTGATTTTTGTGTATCAAATAAAATTTCAATTAGTTCGTGAAATATATAATATTAAAAAGCGAAAGATATTTGGGTATCTACACTTAGATATCAAAGGAATAATAGTAATCCAATTCCCTAGCTTAAATAACAATGTTATTTTTAACTTTCATATATATCAAAATGTAACTTAATCCATTTCAGTGATTAGTTTCAAACATTATTCGTATGCATTTAGTAAATAAATGAAATTTTAGTCAAATTTAATACATTTTCTTGAGTTAAATTGTTTACTTACATTATTTTAGCTAAATTTAATGATATATTGAGTAACAGCAGTGGCAATCTATAGAAATAATTAAAAATAACTTAATTTGGGTATAATTTGACGTTATGAATTTAACTATGTAATTTTTTTATTAAAGAAAACTTATTTTTCTAATTGCAATATTTTTATAATATGTTACCTCATTTATACAACATATAAACATAACATGGAGATATCCTATGACATTAATTAAAGTTGACATATTAGCATGGAAAATTGTATAGCGTGCTCGATCATATATCACGTTTCTATAAAAGAATTATTACATATGATGTGTGTGACTTTCATAACTGCCTAATGAACGATATACATACATTACGATTCGTATTACTATATTATTTCAAGATGCATGTCGCGATGCACCGGTTGCAACCGGTTGTAACCGCCCTGCATAGACATTATATTCTTCGCACCGTTTCTTTTTTCTAACGGTGCGCAGAATACTCGTAAAATTCTCGCCTTGACCTACAATATCAGATTTAAATAACTAGCGAAATATAATTAATGAAGAAACGATATAACGCTACCATTAAGATGTAACCTTGAATGTAACTTTAAGATTTACGACAATCAACTGCAACGTCACTCTGTTATCAAGACAATGTTGCATAAAAATCTTGTATAATAATTCTCTGTAATATTGCAGTCTTCTTAACGAATCACTGCGAACTTATTAAGTATTAACCTCGTTAGCGTTGCTACATATTATTGGCTACATCAATTATGTAAATTAATGAGATATCTCAGTGTAAATGCGTTGCATTTGCAGGTATAAGTGACAGAGAAAGGATAATTTGTCTTGTAGAAAGAACATAAAAAGAAAATTTTCTAATAATTTTATAATACTTTGCATGGTTTTGTGCACATTAATTTTACGTTAATCACTGACGACTTATGACAGATTATACCGGTAGTTGGCCAGAGATTGCAATTTCGGTATTTCATAATGCGTATTCAATCGGCAGCCCTTGACCACATATTTAACTGCATCCGTCCTATTATTATGTACTTCACTTCGGCAAAAAGTTCAGTCATTTCGGGTAACAAAACATGAATACATTGAAATCCTACATTTTTTATCATCTTAAGTTCATCTAATTTTCAGAAATTAACTTGTGAAATGGAAAATAAATATAATTCTGGCAAAACTGTGATAATAAATAAATTAATAATAATAAATATTGATATAAATTCAATATTTGAATTCAATATCTGAAATAAACTCTTGCAATAAACTCGGTTATAAAAATGTCTACAGATAATATTACTGCAGAAATACTTATTTAAATACATCCAAGATTGATTATTAAGGTATTTAAAATATCTAAGAATTTAACTACAAAGAAAAGATGTTTTATATATACGTCTCTCTCTCTCTCACACACACACACACACACACACACACACACACACATTGGGGAGCGAGAAAGAGTTCAATCCATGGGTCGCATACGCATGTACGAGCACGAATTACCGTTCGCCGATGGGCGCCGGATTGGCCGCTTGTGGCGAACGACGGGCCGACTGCCCGAGAGGTTGATGTCCGAACTCCGCGCCAACATTCCGACTCCTCTCGTTCCTTCCTGGTGGTCTCCGCGACTGGTTCCGCGCACGGCTCCGACCGAGAACGTTATCCGCGAAACGCCAAAAAAAGACTTTACTCGCTCATCGCGACCCTGGAAAAGCTTTATCACTTTCGTTAACGGGTCGCTACCCGTGGAATCGACCCACTTCTTTTGGGTACACCACACTTTGCATACAAATCACAGTAAATCACAGTATTTTGTAGATTTCTCTCGTCACGTTAAATACTTATGACATATATTTAAAGAGCTCACTTTGAATTTTTATATATTAGGTGTACAAATAAGTTTCCGCCGTTTGACAAAAGACGGCGCCACTAGCAAGCTATGGTTAAAATTGTCGGATGTAAAACATTATATCGTAAGGTTGGACATCTGTCAACAACATAACCTTGAAATACTAGCGATTTTGTATCAGCATCATATATTTTTTTTGTGCGAAAATGCCGAATAAGCGTCATTTGCGGGAACTTTTGATTTACTTCTTTAATTTGAAGAAATCTGCAGCTGAGGCTCATCGATTGCTTGTAGAAGCATATGGTGAGGCTGCCTTAAGTGAGAGAATGGTTGTGAATGGTTTCAAAAATTTAAGAACGGTGAATTTGACGTCGAAGACAAAGAACGTAGCGGAAGGCCGAAAGTGTACGAAGACGCGGAATTGGAAGCATTATTGAATGAAGATTCGTGCCAAACGCAAAAAGAACTTGCACTTACATTAGGAGCGCCTCAACAAGCAATTTCACATCGATAAATGCTTAATTTTTGATAAAAAACGGAAACTTATTTGTACACCTAATAATTACACTTTTAAAAATAAAATGTTAACTTTAATTTAAAACGTGTAGTGGACTTTTTAGGATATGCAGAAAATAATATTTAAAATTAACATTTTATTTATAATAGTGTATTAAAAAATTGTATGCGTATCATTTAATATAGGTATGTTAGATTAGAAAAAAAATGTTTAATTATAAAGGTATTTTATCATATTTTAGATTACATAATTATTATTGAAGATCACAACACTTATATAAATCTTACAAAAAAAATATTTTTTCAAGAGAGATTTAGGTGTTTCTCTTATAACATCATAAGTTTGATTTATACTTGTCGCTCATGGCTGTTATTACTTTGTACTTTTTCTTGTATAACATTTATTTGTATCTCCACGACAATGGTTCTCCCGAAGCACAATGTGAACCAGCAAGTGGCGAAACGGGGCCATAGGATGGCATAATAATAGCGATGCAACGGCACATTCGCGTCATCTGCTCAGCTATTAATAAACTCAAGAGAGGACCATCTATTTCGGAAACGACATGTCCGGGTCTGTTTGAATTTGGAACCAGCGTTATTAAAAATACAACGACCCGAAGCACCTCAATACATAAATTATCAGATTATCATTACTTTCAATGTCCGGTAAAATT